ATGTATGTATATATATACACATATTAATATGTATATATATAATATGTATATATATATAATATGTATATATATATTATATATATATATATATATATGTGTGTGTGTGTATAAAAGCAACTTTTTAAAATCTGCCAAAACTACTAAAAACCTTTCAGGCAAAAACCACTAGTTCAACAAATTCCATTTTCTTTATGTGGACATTGTTACACAACAGTGCCTGGTTGAGTAACCTGCAACAGTGCCTCAGCCCTAATATTCTCTTCATGCCACACTACCAAGACAGTAGAGGGTGAACTTAATTTAGCTGTTTCAGCCTTCCTGGAAAGGTGCCTGGGTAGCCACAAAAAGCAAGTAAAAAGGGAGGAGGGGTGCGGAAATGGAGTGGGCGAAGCGGAGCGTGGAGTGAGAAAGATGGTCCCAGAATTGAGTCCAGGAGACCAGACTTTCTGTAAATGCATTATAAACCAGAGCCTGGCAAACTCTGGGGACCTGGGAAGGGAACCTCAGGGTGGGAGTGGGGGCGTGGCTAGTTTTCAGTAAACATTGACGGATGCCGGGAAAAGAGGAAATGAGGCTAGCTGACTGCAGGAGCCGTTGAGGTGCTCAACCTTTCAAGAAGGGCAAAAGATGCTTCGTTAAGCGCACGACCCTGTTAGCACTACCAAGTCTCAACCTTTCCTTTGCAGTCTCCCACCTCCAGGCAACCCCCCAAATGAGAGGCACGGAAAAACTTCTAAAACCACCAAAATCTTAACACGCACTACAAGTCCCAGCGTTCAGCGCTGTCTCAGGCCAAACACCAACAGGACCCGCCAGAAAAACTACAAAGTCCAGGATGGAGTGCTGCCTCGGACCCTGAGCACTTCTCTGCCGAAACCCGATGAGGTCAGTGCTGCATGCTGGGAATCCAGAAGACGTAGAATCTGATTAGTTGAAAAGTGCCAAGGACTTCTCTTAGGAGAGCCAGTGTTCCTAAAAGGGAGAGCAGGGGGCGCTACGCACTTCCTCCAGGCGGAAGTTAGTGGTAGACTCCGTGAGTCCCCGCCTCACCAGGTACTGATCTCCCGCGCTTCGCGGAAAGCGGCTATGACCCGGCGGAAGTAATTCCTTGGACTGCCCCGGAACCCACAGGGGCAGGCAGCTGGGGGTAGGGGGGCGGCCCTGGAGTAGGGGCTGTGGCGGTAGAAGAGACTTGGCTGTGGTGGCTGTGTGGTACCGGATTAGTGAGTCTGGGACCGGGGCGGGGACTGAGCTCGGGGTACGCGTCGAGGACGAGGGAGACTGGATCTGCAGGAGTTTGCAGTCTCTCTTCTCATACCTTCCCATCTGGGTGGGGAGGGAACGGAAGCTCTTAACCTCCCCGGGCCTCCTCAGGTCCTGGTTTGGGGGAGGGGAGGGCGGCGGGACCTCTACGGGCGCCCCTCGATGGGCTTGGAAGGCAGTGGAAGGAGGGGAGGCTGCGGGCGAGAACGCTGTTTCTGGGCTGAACATGAGGAGGGTGGAGTTAGGAGCATGGCAGCCCTGTCGCTTTTCGTTTTTGCTTTTTTTCTGTGCATTCAGATTCATTACTTTCTTGAAGTAAATGCCTAGTCTCAAGAGAGGTCCTTCGCCCCTTCCATCTATGGGACCCCTTAAAGTTTATCTTCTGACCAGTTTATTGGGCGATCTCTGCCTGACTTTCGTGCTCGGGGCTTTGGTTATCCGCCTCCCAGTCTTGTCTGAGAGGAGCTTTGTGCTATCAAGTACAGTGTCTACTGAGTTTCTCTTAGGGAACTGAAATCTCTTTAGCAACGTATATATAACTGAAGTTTGTCATTCCATGTGGATATTTCTACTGTCCAACTCTTTCAGCATAGAAAACAACGAAATCTTTATAGTCTTAAAAATCTCATTTTCAAACTGCCAAAGTTGTGTTTTACTTTTATTTTTTTTGCTATATTTCAGGCTAGCTTCAAACTCACTTTGTAGCCCAGGGTGGATAGGAACTTTATTGTTTTTTTTTGAGACAGGGTCTCTACTTGTAGAGATCCTCCTACCCCAGCCTCCCTAGTGCTGAGATTACCACACCTGACTGGATAGGAACTCTTACCTTTACCCTCCTACTTCAGCTTCCACAGTGTTGGGATTCCACGCTTGCACTAACGCACCTGGCCAAGATTTGCTTTTTGATTCTCAATATTTAATTCCTTTTCTGATACAATAACAAGAAGATGACTGTAATCATTTTCATGGTTATTTATTTGTTGCCAGTGATTATTTGGGATTCTGATTGGTTTTTTTTCTTGCTGTGTTGGGGATCTAACACAGTCCCAAACATGCTAGGCCAAGTGCTCAACCACTTAGCTGCATCTCCAGTTCCCTGTTAAATTTTAAATGACCCTTGTTTCTAAATGTGAGATTTACTTGACCATCATTTTTTAAAATATATATTTCAAAGGCCGGGGATTTAGCTCAGTGATTCTGCCGCCTGCCTTGCAAGCACAAGGTCCTGAGTTCGATCCCCGGTACCAAAAAAAAAAAAAGTATATTTCAAATGGAGAGAACCATTGAACTTAGTTCAATTACTAGATAGTAGTTCTGTAATAAGATGATATATTCCCAGAAGTTATAGTCAAGCCCTGTATATTAATTTCTAAAGTAATATTTTAATGCTTTGGGGTCCATTTTTTCATTGTTGGAAAATAATCAGGAAAGATTTTAAATTTATGCTACTATGTGTAAATGCTTTTTAACCTACTGTCCTAAATGATTTTGTTACATTAAGATCAGACGGAGTCAATCAAATGATGCCTGAAATTTATTTTCTTTCTTCCTTTCTTTCTTTCTCTCTTTCTCTTTCTTTTCCTTCCTTCCTTCCTTCCTTCCTTCCTTCTTTCCAAACCCAGGATTTTGAGTATACTAGGCAGGTGGTACTCTGCTACTGAGCTACAGCCCTAGGCCATGATGCCCGAAATTTTAAGCCTCAGTAATTTAAGAAAATGATAGTGTTCAGGAAATATTTATTAAGCATCTATTCTGTCAGGTACTTTCCTCAGCCTACCCTCTTGAAACTTAAGGAAAGTCATATATGAAAGTTATATATATATAGTAAGAGCTTTTCATAATAACTATAAATGTAAAGATCTTGAGGTGCATTTGACTTATTCAAGAAATTCGAAGTACATTTGGAACATAGTAAAAGAAGAGTGGCAAGAGATGAGGTCAGGGTGGTTAACGAGTTCTCTATCTGTAATGGGAAGCCATTAAAGCGCTTTGTACTTGGAAGTGATATCTGATTCATCTATCATCATAGATTGGTGGAGAGAGGACAGACAGGTAGGAAAGTAGGGAAACCAACTCTTAACCAGGCATTTGTAGTAGTCCACTAGACTATTTGTAGTAGTCCACTTGAGATGTGGTAGCTTGACTGGAGTTGGAAGTTAGTCAGAAATGGTGTGAACTGGAATATAATTTGAAGCTGGAGCCAAATGGGTCTTGCTTTCATCCCTGGGACAGAAGAAAATTTGAGTGATCAACTGTTTGGCCTGAGCATCTTGTCAACAATCTTGCTATTTACTGAAACAGGGAAGACTAGGGAGGAAACATTGATCTCTGAGAGAGATATCAAGAGTTCTGTATGGGACTTACTGAGTTTGATAACTAATGATAGCTGAGAAAATGTATAGAAAGCAACTTGAATGTCGAACCCTGGCATTCAGGGAAAAGTCAGAATAGGGAGACAATCTGGGAATATATCTTACAGATGCTGTTCAGGCCTATGAACTAGAAGACATCCAGTAGAGAATGTTAATGGAGAACAAGGCAGCGGACTGGGAGTACAACGTTTAGAAGAGAACAGTGGTAGAAAAGCTGAGAGTGTAGCATCTGGGGTATTAAGGAAAAAAATATCTCTAGGAGGGTTGTAATCACTGTAAAACACTGCTATGAGCAAAGTAAGGATAAAAAATTAACCATGTGACCAAGGGAAGTAGTTGAAATTTAGTAAGAGCATCTTGAGTGTATTGGATTGGATTGAGAAGCAAATGATAGCTGGGAGGTGTAGTTGATTAGTAGAGTGCATACCTGAGGCCCTGGCTTCAGTTCCCAGAACCAGAGGAAAGGAGGTGGATGATAGTTGGAAGTGGGGAGGATGGAAATAACTACAGAAGTAAGTCCTTAGGGTGAGAGAGGATCAGTTTAATCAACTTTTGAGATAAAAAAAAAATGGACAGAATATATGGTTTATAGATGTAGACAGTCTGAAGGTAGAAAGACAGGCAATTGAAATGATTTGTTTCAGTTTATTTTTAGTTCATCATTCTAAAGGTTCTTTTTAATTCTTCTGTAATACATAGGATTTGTGATTAGATATAATGAGTATATCTGCTCATACTTTTTTTGTTGTTTTTGTTTTGGAGGAGGTGTTTTTTTGTTTTTTTGATACAAGGTCTCACTATGTAGTCCAGGTTGGCCTCGAACTCGAGGCAATCCTTCAGCCTCTTGATTGCTGGGATTACAGGTTTGTGCCACCATGCCTGGCTGTTTATACTCTGAAACAAAGGAATTTGTAGGTACTACTGAATCTAAGAGAGAGACTAAATAGTTTACAGGGGTGATGCAGACATTCAGTGGGAACATGCAATGCTCTGGAGCCCTTAAATTCTGTGTTTTGTGGGCAAGCCTGCTTAATAAAAATGGGAAGTTGAGTTGTAGTTGGTTGGATGGGGAAGATGAATTTCAGATGGATTCAATTATAAAATGATAGCGCTAAAAAGGATTTTAGGCACAAGTTAGTCCTGTTCCCTTGTTTGCGAGATGAAGAATCAGAAGTCCTGTCTCTTAGTTTCTGTCTAGGTCCGTATAGAAATGTCTATTATAGAGCATAAATTCAGATATGGAAAGTTTTGGGTCCATGTAAAGTATGTATTCATTGAGATTCATTTGATAGGACTAGTTCTTAATTTCTTTTTGGTTAGAGACCCCTCAAAAATCTGATAAAAATCTTTGTACCTTCTTTCTCTTACCTGGAACTACAGATAAACCCAGAAATTCACAAATTGATTCAGGGGTTTATATTCTGCTGCTTCTTATCCATAATAAGAATCTACAAAGTTTTTATCTTTTTCAGTGGCTAAACAATTCAGAGAAAGAATACATTTTCTAACATGTAAAATTTAAATTTCTGTGCCCATAATGAATAAGGTTTGGTAAGAACACAGCCACACTCCTTTATTTACATTTTATCTGAGGCTGCTTTTGCGCTCCAGTTGCAGAGTTGGAGTACTTGTGACATAGACCATATGACCTGCTAAGCATAAAATATTTATTATCTGGTTGTGCTGCCTCCCCCTAACACACTCATTAAAATGTAAGTTCCAGGGCCAGGGATTTAGCTCAGTGCTTTCGCCACCTGCTGCACAAGCGCAAGGACCTGAGTTCGATCCCCGGTACCAAAAAAAGTAAGTTCCACTGGGGGATGGGGTATTTATTTTGCTCACAGATTTTTCCCAAGCATCTAGAACAGTGATTGTGTATAGAGCTTTCAGTGATAGAAACTGTGGCACACATGCCATAGGTTCACCACCGGTGAGCTAGAACAATGCCTGGCACATGGTAGGCCTTTAAAATAAATAAATATATAAATATATATATTATATCAACCTTTGATTTAGAAGTAGAATAATAGAAGTTAGTATTTTAATGTTTTCATATACTGATTACTGTTCTAAGTGCTTTAATATAATTTTATTTACTTACAATAACCCTGTGAGGTACATGCTATATTACCCCCATTTTACAGTTCGGGAAACTAGGCACAGAAAAGTCATGTAATTTCCCTCAAGGTAATATAGCTGGGAATTGCCAAAGGCTGTCTATAATATATTATGTGGAGAGCTAAACTGAAG